TAAGCAAAGCAAAGTTAGAGCCGCAGCTCAAAAACTCATAAGTCGCAGACAAAAGATGGAGATTAAGACCGGAATTTACATTTTGCTAAACAAAAACACAAAGCTCCAAGTCAACGAGGAGTGAATAGATTGGAGAGAGGAAAACAACATGAATGAGCTTGAAGAATAGTTTAAAATTATTTTCAGTAATACCTGCTCTGACAGTATGAAAAAAAATGATCTGGGACCATAATGGATATAGAAATTCTTCTGGGTTGGCACAATGCGATTTCTCTCTGTATACCAACGCACTTTACCAGAATCTATAATTTTTTTTTTTTTGTTTGCCAATTCTAAAATTCACATTAATTGAAATGAAATTTAACATTTTCAGAAGTTTTACTTTTAGTTTTGTTTTTAACAGATCTTGTTTGTCTTCACCGAGATCCACAGCGTTTTCTACCTGATGAACCGCTAGTGTTACTACTTATAAAATTTATTAATAGTAATAATGTTTTTTCTAAGTATGCTGGCACTCATCCTGTATAGTTAATCTATTAAAGATAAGCTGAAAGTGTATGTGTTTGTACAAAGAAGTAGAAGAAATACACTTTCTTTTTTTAAAGGCCTTGCTCATCACTGTGCTTGCTTGTGGAGTTGAATGTTGGGGCTCGATTCTTTGGACAAGCAGTGTTTGTTAGAAGAAAAATGTTGCATTTTTCCATTATGTCAACCATTCTCACAAATTTTTATGTACAGCCCCTTTGGGGAAGCCCAGTCAATTTCCTGCTCAGTCAGCAAAATAATCTTGCTTTATCTACATTCTAACTTTGCTTTTGTTAGAAACTGCACTCACAGGGTTTGGATTGTAGCTTGTGGTTAACCCCCCGCCACCTTTTATTCAACTGTATTTCTGACAATCATTTTTTCCCCATCTTATTATTATTATTATTTTTTTTTTTAATCTAAATTTTCAATGTAAGCTTTCTTTGCGTCACCGCTCTCTTTCTCTGTCGGTTTTACCAACATGGTGGTAAATAATGAATCACCCCAATAAGCTGTGCAGTAAGGACTTGGAGGCTTCATCTAGTAGCCACATAGTGTTGAGACTCCCCCATCCCATTCCTCACAGCAATTAGAGAGAGGCCAGGAAGTGCATTGCTTTTATGATCTTATAAAGACCTTAGAGACTCCACTGCACAGACCCTCAACACTTCTAGATTTACTAGTTCCACATTATCCTTTCTGTCTTTCAATTATCTTTAAAGTTAACTTGGAAACTTAGTGGACTCCGCTCACTCTCTTTCTCTCTGTTGATTCCACACGCTGTAAATTCTCGTCTGCGAAACCACGTATGCTCTCCCTTTGAGAATCTCACACTGATACCTCTAGTTTCAAACTGCAGTGGCATTTCACGCCACAAAAGCCCTTCGTGCAAACACAAATGCCATCTAATCTTTCACTTATCTTTTAAGTTTTCATGCTTGTTCACCAACTGTCCTGACCATGACCACTGTGCATCACTCGCTGTTTTTCTTATCTTTCTTTTGGCACAAGCATGAAACCGAGAATTACCCGCTGTGTCCGTTCAAAATCTTTCACTGAATCGATACAACATGACGGAGAGCTCATCTGCCTGTCATCTTCCTGTACGTGTACATCCGTAAAATAAAACCTTCTGACATACTGCGACTTGAGCATTTTTAACCTCGCCTCTATCTATCTAAATGGACGCCATTAGAGATCCAAGCTGCTTTTTGGGCCAAAGCTATCTTAGACGGACTCGTCTGCTGCTGAAACATGTCGCGTCTGTAGAGGGGGAAAAAAGGGCGAAGAGGAAAAGGCAGCAGCATGTCTGAATATTTTTCTTACATCCTCCACCGTTATCCTTCCTTTCTTCCCAGGACAACTCATGCATCCTTTGACAAGTCCCTAAAACAATGGGATTGTGTATCACGGTACAATGTATGTCTCCACTAATCCCAGGTGGTTGCTACATGGTTCATCCATCAAAAGGGTGATGAAAGAAGGCATTCCAACCTCAAAGACATCCTAAACCACTTCTATTTAAAAATATTTTTCCTAGTCTTGCTAGATAGATACAACCATCGTTCAACAGCCCATAATCCTGGCAAACCGTTTTATCATTTCCTGTTTTTTTTTTTTTTTTTTTTACGGTTTTGGATCATAAAAAAAGTGCCACTTTGTGAATACACTGACATAGAAGCAATCACATAAAAGAAGAACATAGAGATGAAGGTTGCTTCCATATGGATCAAACACACACAAAAACATGAAACTACAAAAAATAAAAAGAAAGAACTCAAGAGAACATAAAATCAGACACAACAAAACTGCTGCAAACAAATAAGTGCAAGAGATAAAGTGCAAGAAGAAAGAGGTGAGAGCATCTATGCTGGTTTGATATAAAATGAGTTAACCTAAAATGAAATGGAGCAAACGTGGAATTGAATTCGCTCTGTCTTCTGCAGAACATGAGTGTGAGCAGCAGTTCGGATTGAAAGTTGATGATGTAATACCTGCAGCTGAAGAGCTGACATATTTAGTGGATGAGTATAACATAAAATGTCTGAATCGTGTTGGGGGGGAAAGAATGTCTGAAGAAGAAGTTTTGTATTCATTGAAAGATAAATTAATGCTATAAAAACAGAAGTCTAACTAGTTTCTAAACTTTTAAAAACACTCGAGGAAAGGGAGAAAAATAGACGGATCGTTTGTGCTTAAAAACTAAAACCCCTGGAAAGCTTTGAAGAAGAATCCCATCATTGCTGTTGTAACCTCTGGGTGGAAGGTTGAGGTGGAAGAGTGTTTCATCAGAAGGGAGGATGACATATACAGAGAAAAACAACATTGTCTTTTGCCTCTTGCTGGATCTCCTCTTTAACCATCCCCCCCTATCTGCGTGTGCTGGTGGCCGTTCTGTTCATGCCTGCACGGAGGAAAATGATTTACTGCTGCTCTCAGCTTCACACAGAGAGTGAGAAGATTACTCACGGAGACGACAGACACTTTGGGAACTGCTGAAACACAGTTAAAACAATAAGGTGGCTCCTCTGCCAGGTTCATTCCTGTGTTTTGCCTTGTGGGTATGCTGTTCTCCAAGGTAATGATTTATTTCTCCCTCTCTACATCCCAGTATTGTTAGGCTTTCCATACTTTAATAGGGGTTGGAGGAAAAATCCTAACTATGAAACAGATTCTCTGATCGCACAGGCGAGTCCACATACAACCCTTTAGATCGTTAAGCATACTGTCTCTTCAAATGATCCCCGACTGAGATATTTGCTTCCAAAAAACTTTTTTTTTTTTGCTTACTTTCTTAATTAAGTATCCATGACCATGGGCCACTTCATATGTAAGGATTTTGTAATTTCCATGGAATTTTCTGTCAGTGTGGATTTAAAGTTAATCTCTTCGCATTGATTAAACCACCGGAAATATTATTTCTATTCCTCAAAATTCCTTATCTACAGTTTTTGCCGACGAAAATAATCCCCTCGTGACTTAAAACAGCTTAGATGTACTTCAACACCTTAGCCTCATTTATAATGCGTGGATGTATGAATATGTAAATTTAGTCTCCACCTCCACATCTTTCCTAAGGGTTGCGTTTACCTGCTTGACTTACACTCTGCTCGACACTGCAGTTATATAAGTGAAGGAGGGTGAAGTGTTTGTGGATGCCTTTAAGTCAGTTTATCAAAACAGAACCATATTTTGTCTATCTCCAGTTAGAAAGTTAGTGTTGAAAATATGTCTTAAAATCCAGCAAACTGATCAGATTAACTGGGTTTTCTTGGGTTCTGAAAGCTACATTGAACTCTAGATGTAATTTTAAACATGATCCCAATTTCGTATTCAGACAAATATGAACTGTAGTTGGTGAGAACGTGAGACTAAAATACACAACCTTAGGTATTCGAAATTTGTAAAAATTTGTATTTCTGGATACTGCAATCTGTGATTGTGATCGAAAGGTGCTGCAATGCCAATCTTGTGTCAGCAGAAGGCAGAAATGTAAATATTAACAAAAAATGAAAGATAATCCTGAGCCTTGCTAAATTAGTGCTAATTAGTACTGTGGTTTGTGATTTGTTTGATGCTGATTTTCTTTTTTTTTGTTATTTAGCTTTTGTTTGAACTCTAATGGAAATCGAGTCAGACCAAAGTGACACAGATAACTTAAAAAGAAAAACTACATTTGTCCTGGACTCTGGCTTAGGGCTTGTTAACTTCTACTTCCTAAAGTTGCAGAGATGCAATTCAGCGGGGTTGGCCACAAACCCCGCTGGGAAGTCTCTTCCAAAACATCTGTATCTGGACAGAATTTTTTTTTTTTTTAAATGTTAATTCATGTTCATGTGAACAATTGCTAACAATCAATACAGAAATCTCAATCTGTGCTCTCTGGGAGCTCAGTGTGATGTAGACATTATTCAGAGGCTTCTGCAATATTTTAATTTTACAATAATATAACTGCACAATATTCAAAATAGCAATCATCATCATGATGGCAATGTGTGTGAAATCCAAATCATATCAAAATAACATATTCTTATTCAGGCTTTGTCAGTGTTGTGGAATAGCTAATTATATGTTCCGAATTACCATTTTATTATATTTTTGATATTTACATTTTCAGTTTGTTTAAAACAGTGAATTCACTGTGGAAATAAATGAGGAAAGAAATGCAAACTGGTTAAAAAGTGGAAGACAACCAACCGTGATTTTTTTTTCTTTTTTTTCTTGAAGGTAAAAAGGGAAACTGAGATTCAAAAAAGAGAAAGAGATGGTGACTGGGACAGGAAATGCTATTCACCTGTTGGTTGTGACTTAACACGAGGGAGGGACTCACACACACCATGCTCACTTAAATTCTTAAAAACAGAAACATGCAGGAATGCAAACATGAATCCTGCCCCAGCTGATCACCTGACTCAGGCAACCAGGTGGAAAGGACAGAGAAATGCTTTGAGGCCAGGTGTAAACTAAGCTCTCACCTCGTCAATGTCTCCCCGTAGATCACCGCTTGAGTTAAGGGGTCTTCTGCTTCCTCCTCTCGCCTCTTGGGTGAAGGCCAGCACCGTCAATTCTCTTCAGCTTCTTCCTCTTGTGTCTGCTCATTTCATGGCCTGTCACAGAAAAAGACCAAAAGGGGAAAACAAATCATTAAGAAACTCTTTAAGTGAAATGCGTTGAGGTCAACAAGCACCTTGCACTGAGAGAAAAAAAAACAACATATACATTTCCTATTAAAAGAGATGGGCGTAATTAAAATCTCTTATTTGTCCTGCATAAAAGGAAGGCAAGACAGCTAAAAACAATTGTAAATCATTGCAAATTCCAGGGTTTTATGTGCTTATGGTAAAGAACAGTCCCATAATGAATAATTAATATTTAGGCATCATATGACTATACAAGTGTCTTTTATAGTTTGCGTAACTGTTTGGACTTGCTACTCTGTCCGTTTCGTCTCCCTTTTCTTTTCCTAAACTGTGTTGACATGCGCAGTTTGGGCAATTTTCTCATGGCTGTAACTGCTTCGAAATAATTGACACGGTTTGTTTTGCGAGAGTGCGTGCAGGGGGCGTCTTACAGTGCACTGATGAAATTGCTAACAGCTGTGACAGCCGCCATTGAGCACACAGACCCTCCCTTTCGCCATATCATTTGTAGCGTACAGCTGCACAGATAAAGCACGAGGGTTAAGCAAATAATGCACAATAGCCAGAAAACAATGTCCCTCCTCTATCACTCACTCGCACACACTCGCTCCAAGTGTTAGCGCTGCTAAAAAGGAGCATGCCAGCTGCAAGTGTGGAAAAATGACTGGCACTGCTTGTCCTCTTTATTACCGGGGCCAGCGCAGACACCCCTGCTATCCCTCCATTCATTTGAATCTCTTTTTCTTAATAATAAACCCCTCCTTGGTCACACTCTCTCGTTGCCTGCAACCCCTCTAACCGCACCCCTCCAGTCTGGTGTCAACCCTTGAACAAGGCAGCAACAGTGCTCCTTTGTCTGTCCTCCTCCCCTCCTCTCTCTCCTTGCCCCCTCATCCTGGTCGATGCTGGTTGGCGGGGACGGATGCATGCCTCGACAGGAACGCCAGAGGAGAGGAAGGGAGGGAATGCAGAAGGAAAAATATAGGTGGAAGAAGGTCAGTGGGGGGAAGAAAAAAAAAAGTGTGGTTCTAATAGTCAATTGCTGTCATTTTTTTTCTCTCCTTTCTGTACTTTTCTGGTATTTATTCAGACCGAGAGGAGTGCAAGCTCAGAAAGTATTTGTGGGGAAAAACGAAGGTGGGTTTCAAGTGACCACACCCTCAGTGAACCCTGTGACTCCAGGCTTACCATCACAGAAAGTAATTTCCAAGGGAATACAGCTGGTTTGGACAGAGAAGCTAATTTTAAACTCTAAAGTAAAGATGGAAAAGATGTGGGGGAAGAAAAAAAAAACATTGAGTCTTATTTCTTCTCTTTGAAAACGAGCTCTGTTCATTGGATTTTATGATTGAAAAAAATAATGTGTGTGCGACTGGGAGTTTGCAAAAATAGTCAAAAGTACACAACGTGTAATTTATCATTTATGCAAAGAAAAATACCAGGTCCGAGCCCACCGGGGTTAGTCAGGACATAATTTTAGCCAATTCATTTTGGTTCCACGGCGGGTGCTGCAAACCCAGATTCCTAATAGCATAAATACTGCTCTTGTAGTGGTGTCTGGGGAATGTCTCATTTGGTATCGAGCGAGACCGAGAGGCAGAGTAGCATCTTTTTAGCTAAAACACACAAACTCCGTGACAACTTGGAGGAAATAAATCGGATCATTAACCCCACGTAATCTACAAACATTGTGTTTATTGTAAACACATTCCCAGCTTTGTGTGTGGGGTGCGTGGGGGGGCGGGGGAAGGGGGGACCCATGTTAATTCACTCTGAGTTTGAGGATGTGATGTATAAAGTGAGCCGTGACAACGCGAGAACCACGTCTCTCAGTTTCCATGCACACGCATCTGTCATGGCTGTCTGTGTGTGGAGCATGTGCTGTGATAGACAGAGAACATGTTATAGACGGTGAAAACGAGTGTGAAAGTGTGTGTGTGTGTGTGTATGTGTGTTTGTGTGGCATGACTACAGTGATGCAGCTCCGCGTCTTGATCTAGACTCCTGCCTGCTTGTGACACCCGCTGCGCCTGCTTCATTAATCAATAGGACAGATGAAGACAGACTCCTGCTGCGCTATGACGGAGAACGGTGGCTTGCATTCCCCACTGTGTGTGTTTCTGTATGCACGCAGACTCCAATGCCCCCGGGTAGAACGTGGCAGACATGATGCGAACCTTCAAGGCTTCCTGCCCACACAGATCATCTGCATTGTATTTGCTTTCTTGTACCTCCAGAAGAAAAAGAAAAAAAAAAAGCAAAGAAAATGTCCTTGTCTATTTGATGATTTGAACAGACTTGTGTTTGCTACTGTATTAACCAGAATGGCCTGAAGCCTTGAAGTCTTCAAATAAAAAAAATAAAAAATTATGTACTGGGATTTTACTTCTGTGTTTAGGTTCTTTTTGCAGAATTAGGCCATTGTCTCACTTTCATGTCTGGTAGAAAAATTTCCAATAAAAAATAAAAGTAAACACTACAATCACAATGATTACGAGGCTCCAATTATTGTTCCTCTTTTTTCAATGTGGTAGAAGCCTTGAGAACAAGAATCAACATTTTTTACTTTAGTTATATCCTTGATTTTAACCACAGACACACACAGACATGCACACAGCTGTAATTACCTGTTCTTGGAAACACACACACACACACACACACACTGAAAAAACTCTTGGTGTGTTTATTTAAATTATTTTTCAAAAACTGAGCTAAAAAGAGAACGTGCCTTAAGGGCTTACTGAGAAACTCTTTGTGTTCATAAGTTTATTATACCTCTTGGTACAGTCAGACCATGAGAAAATTAAATCAAAACCTAAAATAAACTTCCCCTTTCATGTGACACCAAAGAAATAAACGCCTCATAATTTCATGTTTTGAAGTATTTTGGTTGCTTAACAAAAAAAAAAAAACCTGGAGCTGTTACAACAACACAGTCTCAGTCATACTTGTGCAAAATGTGACTAACATACTGTGGCCATACGAAAAAGAATCAAGTAATTTGCAAAGATGTATTAGAGTGTCTATCTATGTGTAAAACTTGTGCAACACCATACATTTAAAATGTAGCTGATTTAACAGCAGTCATCCATCTTGACTCCTGTTAAACAACAAGTTGGAAATATTTGTACCTAATGCAAACTGATAGAAGAATGCTATAAATCATAGGTGAGTGTTTTTTTGTGAGTCTGATCAAATGGGCACTTTTAACTGAGCAAAGCAGCAGTGAAAGTCAACTTTTAAGAGAGAGATAAATTAAAGAATATTGTTATAAAGCATGCTAGATAGGATCAGAGGGATGGAAAAAGGTTAGAGGGCAACATTGGTGTGATTTAATGCTACCCTTCTTAAATCGCATGCCGCTCACTGCCTGTCAGCTGACTCGATAAAGGCTCATAAACTTACAAGGACAGGGTTGGCTCTTTGGAAGCACATACAATATTAAACAACCGAGACTCATGTTTTAAAAACTGAAGTTAATACAATCACCCTTATTAAAACAACACTGTTTTTAGTACTGCAGTTGTCAAGATAAGTGCAGGCAGACTGACTAATTACACAGCTAGTGTTGGCAAAAGAAGCACTAGAGACCTACTAAATTTATCATGTGTTTATAGTTTTTCAAGGTCTATGTATCAAAATCAAAACATATTAATAATTTGAATGGTGATAAACATATATTCAACATCAGCAGTAATAGTTGTTACTTTTCTATTTTAAGTAAGAATAACTATATTATGTTCTTTATATATTTGTTTTCCATGTTTTAATTAAATACCATAATACCATATTTATTTAAGGTTAACACACTGAGAACCTTCCTACCAACCCATGACTACAATGCATCTATTTTTCATATATTTCTTCTGAAAACCAAACATTAGTATTACACATAGAAAATACCCTTTGCTACATTGTAATTTATTGTGGAAATGCAGCCCTGCCATTATTAAATCATGCTGTGACAAAAAGTGCATTGACTATAACATTTTGAACAAAAAATGTTTGTGACTCGTTCTCAAGTATATTCTGGTAACAGGAAAAGAGGAATGTGTGTAATTTCCTGGGCTCTAAATGACTTGAATGCAAAGCCACTTAGGCCATTTTCTTCCTTAGAAGCTAAATCTTGCAGAACTGTTATCAGTCATTGAGAATTTTTTTTTGCCTCCTGACTGTACTGCTACACCGTTTTGTGTGCGTTCAATGTAACTTGTGATACTTGGACAGAACTCAGTGCCCTCTTTGTTGGCCATTGTGCAGTGATGAATGAATCCTTCTTCCAAATTTCATACAGAGTTGCTCTGTGTGGAGCCATAGAGACTCCTTTGAGACCAGTAAACTGATGTGCAGATGATATATGTAGACACCTTTAACAGGAATATTAGCCAGTATCAAGTTGCAAATAGCGACTCATTTAAAGTATATGCAATAAAATTAGAGCATTATTTCTCTATGGTACTCAACAAACTGTAATTAGCTATTAAAGGTTTCATTTAGTATTCCATTTTCTAGTATATTCTTTTCTTTATCCAAGTAAAAATAGATTAGAGTAAGTTAGAGAACTTTGACTTCTTTTATATATATATAAAAACATTTTCAGGTTGAAAACAGGCTCAGAAGCACATTTGTTTGATGTATTCAAGAAACTATTAAGAGGTTTGATGGATCTCCTACTGGCAATAATACATTAGCTGTAAATATGTGACAGCAAATCATTTCGGTTTATTGATGAGCACCTCATCTGCCTGTATGATTGATTTTCCTTTTCATAAAAGCTGAGCATCACAGCAGCACTGCAAAGAGTTTGTTGATTTAGTGACTCATATCAAAAGCCCATTGTTTACTCATTGGAAAAATTATACGGTTACAAAATTTCTGTGTAATTCAAATGTACTTTACTGCAGAGCTAAAAGTAATGCCGCCAAAAGAATGTCACCCGTAAAAAAAAAAGAAGAAAAAAAATAGAA